CAAATTTTTGATCAAGTTATATGCTTTTCAATACATAGATGAGTGCCAAAATATGTACAGTACCAATTTGTGTATACAGTCCAAATTATTTAAATCGCTTCGTATTCGAAATGTACGAAATGTACCCTCCTAATTGTTGTTAAGTCTTGTAAAAAAAACCTAAAGAATAATTAAAAGGGATTTCTCGTCGATATTGCATTTGCTTTTGTTGATATTGGACTTTTATTTTTCGGAAAGAAGGTACTTGTCACGGAAAAAATTCGGGGCTCGAAGGGTTAAATATTTTCTCAAGGATAAACATTGATTTTTTAAATAAGTATTGCATTAAAATTTCTTTCCATTTCGGCTGAATTTGTGTACTTTTTCATCCATTAACGAATCAACACGGAAATATGTGAACGAAAAACAAAAAGAACGATGAAAGAGAAAGATTCAAAAGAACTATGTAGGAGTCGGAATTATACGGAGCAAAGTATCTAGTTCCTTCTTAAAAAAAGAAACGAGAAAGATCGAACCGCTCCGTGAATAAGATTACCCAACTCTAGTTTTATTTGGTTGCTCGTAGAACAATATAAATTACCTTTTCCACATGGTTGTGATTTCTTTCGGCCGTGAACCAGAGCATTTAAGATCTAAGATGTCGCAAAGTGGACTTAGAAAATGTTACTCGTTAAATTTTACTACTACTACTTCTGTATTAAATACGAAATACTCAAAGACGTATATAAGTGAACAAAATCTAGCGTTGGGGTACAAATTACTTTAATTAAAATTTTATTTTATACATTTCAGGATTCCAACTCTATCACTTCACTCATAATTTAAATTGTACTAAATTTAGTACACTTAGTACAAATTTCTAAAACTTCCTACATATATCAATCTTACACCCCAAAAGTGATCATAAATCCAAGTTGCAGGATTCCAACTCTATCGGTTCACCCACAATTCAAATTGTTCCAAATTTAGTACACAGTAGTACGAATTTCCAAAACTGCCTACTTAATAGTAGTACCAATTTCCAGAACGTCCTACATACCCCAATCCTACACTTCCACAGTGATCTCTTCACCCACAATTTAAATTGTACCAAATTTAGTACACATTAGTACAAAATTTCTAAAACTTCATATATATCTCAATCTTACGCCTCAACAGTGATCCTGACTCCAAATTTCATGTTTCTAGCTCTATTGGTTCACCTAAAATTCAAATTGTACCAAATTTAGTACCCATAAGTATTAATTTCTTAAGCTGAATCCTGACCCCAATACTACGCCCCTACAGTGATCCTGACTCCAAATTTTATTGTTCCTATTCTAACAAATTTCCAAAACTACGTACATATCCCAATCCTACACTTCGACGGTTATGTTAATTTCAGGATTCCAGCTCGATATGTGAAATGAAATTTGTACCAAATATAGTACCATATAGTACTCTTCGTACACATGAGTACACGCTCCAACCATCTCCTTAAATATACCCTACATCCCAACCCTAATTCGCATTCCAAATTTCAAGTTTTTAGTTCTATCCATTCACATGCCAAATTTAGGATATTTTAGAACTTTTCGCATACTTATAGTTCGAATGTCCAAAAACCCTATTCTACACTCTATCAGTGACCCTCATTTAAAATTTAAGAGTTCTAGCTCTACCGGTTCGCCAAATACAAATGATAACATATTTAGTACCTTTCGTACCGTTCTAGTACGAATTTCCAAAAACCCAGCCATACTTGTCACTTTTGGACCAAGAGTGATCCAAAATGTCCAGATTCTAGCTTCAGCCGTTTCGTCTGGACGTTGATGAATCGTTAAGTCAGTCAGTATAGATAAATACTCAGAAATGCTAATGCCCTTCTGTATAAACGCGTTTTAACCATCCACTGTTTTCTCTGCATTGACAACACTGTTTTGTCTCTTTTCTTCTTTCTTCAGTTGTCAATCATTTTTAAAGCCGGCCGGTCGCGAATTATGTTCGTTGCATTAAAACATTAACATTTAATGAAATATTTAATTATATCGTTCCAAAAAGTGCAAATTGTTGAAATAACACAAAACAACAACAACATAATAGATAAATTTAAGTTTTTCCAATAAAATAAAGTCATTAAAAACAAGTGTATTTGCTTTATATTTTTTATTCTTGTTGTCCCTTTTGTTTTGTTATCTGTGCGACTCGTGTGTGTATGGGAGAGAATCCGAGCGGCATTGTTGTTTGTTTTGTTTGTCATCGGGAGTTATTGTACGGCTAAAAAGTGATCTCTGCTTCGTTCGGGTGATAAAACATTTAAGGACACAATTTACAACTATTGACAGAAAATTGCTGTGTAAAGTCGTTGTGTCGTGTAAATTAAAATTAGTTAATATTTTGCTATCACGAAAGAGATTAATGTTAAAGAATGTGAATGTAAATGTGATTTACCATCATTTATGCATATCAATTGTGGTCAAAAATTCTCTTAAAGAATTGTTAAGTGAAAATAAAAACAAGGATTCTTCTACGAAATTTAATTAATTTAATATTTTTTAAAACATAAATAACATCTCAGAAAGTGTAAAAAAATAATTTGTTCAAAAAATTGTGGACATTTTTTCTTTAATGTTTTTGTTTCAACGTCAATACATTTATAGAGAACGCATCAATGCTGGTGTGCATGGCTGCCCAACTTTGATTAGAAGTATGCAGAAACCGAAGCAGTGATTATGTGGGTAAGATTAAACTAATTAAATATACAAAATAGATTCATTAGTATAATGTAGTAGATGGTACGTGTTTAGTCGGTGTTGCTGCAGAATTAGGGATACGCAACGTAATATTTGTTTTAATATTTTATTTATGTACTTTAAATTAGGGGGTAATGAGGGTGTTAAGGCTTGATGATGGGTGCGGAATTTAATCACACGATAAAAGGGTGTGAGGAAAGCAGTGTTGCCAGCTTTGAGGATATTTGTTTTGAAATGGGGATTAGTTGTTGGGTTTGGTGATCTGGGGATTTTTAGGGGATTTAAAGTTCGATACAATTGTTAACTTGGTATATGATTTTGAGAAGAAAATAAAATTGCATTCTGAATCTTTATATCTAAAAATGAAATCGAAATATTTTAGGAATGCACATGTAAATTTTTATATTACTAACGATAAAACAACGCGACATGGTATATTGCAAAATGTATAAGCAGTGTTCACAACAAATTCAGCCAGGACTTTGCCAAGTTAAATCTACCCTACGCCACCCTAGGATGATTAGTGCACATTTAATTAAAATCGGGAGCTATATCTAAATCTGAACCGACTTTTACGAAACTTAGCACACATCATTCTAGACCTAATTCAGTACGGTACGCCAAATTTCGTGCAAATCGAAACATGTATAAGGACTTTGGTGCACCATTTACATTAAATGGGACGAAAATATATTTGGGAGCTAAATCTGAATCCGAACCAATTTTCAGGAAATATAACACACATCATTCTAGACCTAATTCAGTACGGTATGAAATTTCAAGTGAAAATCTCAACAATTCTTGAAGATATATCCGATGTATTGTGCTAACATCAAGTGACGGCAAGAGGGCTTCTCAAACTGTAAACGCATTTTTCTCCAAACAGCGTTTTTGCGAATGGCGGGCACGAAACTTAAAAACAAATAACCCAATCGATTTCAAATTTTGGGACGTTTCTCTGTGAGTATATAGCTATCGCATGAACTAGGATAAAGCCAATCGGTGAATATCTTCATTATTTTTTAACTTAGTTTGTGGTCAAAAATAGGTGATTTTCCAAAAATAATAATAATAAATAAAAAAAAAATCAAAGTTCTGCCATTTTGTTAATTATCATGTTATCATGCCCGCCATCAAAATTAAGGACTTTTCTTTGGTCATAAAAAACAACAACAAAAACACAAAAAAAATGTTTGTAAATTACAAACCTAAACAAGCATTGGTATTCAATTATCAGCCCATTTAAAATCTTAAAAATAAAAAATCGAGAATGGGGGGGTTCCCTTAAATCGGTCGAAAATATATATGGGAGCTATATCTAATTCTGAACCGATTATTTCCCAATTTCCATTGGGTTCGTCCTTGGACCAAATAAATGAAATGTGCTCTTAGTTTACAATTTAATATCAACAGACGGACAGACGGGCGGGCGGACATGCATAAATCGACTCAGAAAGTGATTCTATGCATATTCTCAAAAGGAACCATGGGTCTATCTTGATTCCTTTTGACTGTTACAAACATATGCACAAAGACATAATACCCTGTACCACAGTGTGGTGAAGGTTATAAATTCAAAAAAAAAAAAAAAAAAAAAAAAAACTTGCATCTATATAAGATTTCAAAACGTGCGACAGTTATGTATTTTGATATACGATACCTCGGATTAATGCTAGTGATGTACAATGAGATCTTCATATTGAAAACGCCATTGCAGAATGTGCTCCTGACTCCCCTATACCCATTTGCCCATTGAAAAAATTATAAATTTATTTTTCATTCATAATTTTTATTTTCTTGTTGAAAAAAATGTACATTTTTCACACACAAAAAATAAACTTATTAGAAATCTTATATTTTAATTACATTCACATACATATAAGCTATATTTGGCACATCAATTATGTCTATATAAGAAAAAAATCTTGTATGATTGGCTTAAAAACTAAAAAGCCTGAGGGTCTGCTAATATTTAAAAACAAAATAATAAATAAATGCATTAACGCGTTAAAGACACCAGACACAAGAAAACTAAAATATTAAATTACCACATTAAATTATAAATATACAAAAAAATCACAGCTGTAACAAAAGGTATGTAGGTGGGTTAGGCAAAAAATAACCAGAAAAAAAATATAAAAAAACCAAAATGGTTTTTTGTTGACCCTGACCTACTACAATACGCAGTATATTGTGGTATGGTCTTGGGAGGGGTTTTAGTAGCATTTGTTGGGTATCTCAGTTATCCTCATAATCGTTATATCAAATCAACATATCAACCTCTTCATAATGGGTAGGGGGTCTCTTCCAATCTAATCCAAAGCATTCAAGAATGGAGCAATTGAGGGGAAATCTTCACAGTCTGGAATAGCTTTGCCCTTGAATTTAAGGCATGACTCGGCACAGGTTTGACCTTGGAAATAGTCACCGAACATTTTCTTACATTGAGCACAGTTATTCAAACAGATTTGAATGTAATCAATGCCACCCATGGGATCTGCGGGAAAGGGACAAAGAATAAAGTTTAAAAGTGAGAAATTGTAGAATTTTTGTTGTTGTTGAGACTACTTACCAAACCTCTTGCCATAGTGGCCAATTGAAGGCATGGCCTGGCTAATTTCAATTACGGCAAAGCAAATGGCAACTACGGTGAAGATAACGGCAACGGATTTTGAAGAGAACATTTTGTAGGCTGGAAAGAGAAGGAGAAAACATATTTCGAATTATGTTTTTTTAAATATTCACTAAAATACAAATAAACACCTTTTTGCTTTTCTTTGAAATTAATAAAAATCTCTTCAATAATTTGATGTTCCATACAAGGAAAAAAATATTGTTTAAGGTTATAAAAACACGGTTTTAATGCTTTTACGGTAGCTGATTGTTTTGAAATAAAAACTTTTCAATATTAAACCAGGCTTTTGTATGGTTTTTATAACCATACGGAGTCGAAGTCGTTATGACCAACCAACCAACAGCAACTCTCTTTAGTAATCTCCATATTCTAGCACGCAAAAAAACGCGTCGCAAACTCTCCTGCCGGCATTTTTTTCTTTATAAGAAAGTTCGAAAAAAGTACCAAATCCAGTTAAACAAAAGCCAAGCCAAGGCAAGTTGAGCTTGAGCAGAATTGCCACTATGAATGTCTGTCTTTCTGTCGGTTTGTTGGTGGCTTATTAATTTCTCGTTTAACTTAATTATGTATTAATTAGTTGTTTTATTGGTTGTAATCTCAGTTCTCGGGTGTAGCTTTTGTAACAGGATTTTTTTTTAACATATTCGTATTTCTAATCTTTTTATTTTGAATATCATTATTGAATCGCGTGTCCACTGAATTCATTTACATTCTTATGTTAATTTTATTCTAGCAAAAACCTGATTTAGTACGCAGTCGAAAACAACATAATTCGCCAAATTCTAATGGTTAGTGGTACAAGGCTATTACATAATATTGGGTCAATAAAATCATATATCATTTTGTAATGATAATAAAAGTGTGAAAGTGTTAAATTATTTATATTTTATTCATTTTATAAAATATTTAACATATAAAAATCAAATTTTGTAAATTACAAGCCTATTCGATTTTTTTGAAAAGTGCCGAAAAATTGTTTATTTCTTCTGTGCTCAATTAGTTAAGTTCCCATTCAGTTAAGTTCCAATTCGACTACAGACGAAAAAGCTTTCTGCAAGATGGGTGCCGCATTTGTTAATAGTCGATCAAAAACGCATAAGAATGAACATTTCTCAAGCGTGTTTGGATCGTTTTAAGCGAAAACAGTTTTTATGCGTCGTTTCATAACAGAGACAAAAAAACAATCCAAACAATGGATTGAATCTGGAGGAAGTGCTCCAAAGAAGGCAAAAACAATTCAATCGGTTGGTAAGGTTATGGTAACGGCTTTTGGGACTTGAGTGGTATTTTATTGATAATTTTCCGCAAAAGGGTGAAACAATAAATTCAGAGAACTATTGGAACCTTTTGGATCAATTAAATTCGAAAAATTGGTATTAGTAACATATTTTTAGAGTTTTGTCAAAAAAGTCAGATGCCCTTACCCGGGGTAGTTTGGGTATATGATGGGGCATATCCGTCCCCCATAAAAATAGTCTTATATCTGTCTGGTTAGAATTTAGACGCTTTAGAGATAATCGCCCATGTGCTGCATTTCGATTTTGCTCGAATGTGAAACATTTTCCCAAATTTGGTGTGCTCCATTCAGAATTCCCAAAAAATATTGGGAATATAATTCGAGCACATATAGCCTTGTGGATTGAAAACGATATGAGATCGTACGTGTTTTTCTGAGCACGTACAAGTTGAAAAGTAATATTTAACGTGTTTTTACAATATATATTTAAAAAATACAGTATTTACATTCGTTTTTATAGTAAAATTAAAGAAAATAAAAAAGGTCTCCTTTTATCAAAAACAGCGCGTAACATTTTTGAGATCAATCTGGCAACTGAACCACCATATGATCAAAATATAAATAGAATCTATAAAAAATCTACTTTTAAGATTTCCAATAGTCCTTTTACTAATATTTTTGCAGATGTGTGTCATCAAAAATGTTTCTAAAGCGTAACCACTGTCTCCTAGAAGCCAACTATTTTGCATACCATTTCCTCTTTTGTTAATGCTGCCTAGCTGCACTCATATGCCAAATAAAAGCATCATGGCTGGATCCTGATCTGCAGCTGTCCACAGCTTGCACACACTTTGTCTTCCAGGACATTCATTACTCTCCACAATATTTTACACATTGTTGTGCGATCAACACTTATTTTTAAATCATTTGCCCACCAATAGCCAGAAATCTTAAGGTAGCTGCTAACTGCAGGCTTTCGGGAATGATACTCTTGTGTATGAAAGCCAGAGAGTTGGCTTAAAATGCCATAAATGCTTATTTTAACACGTTCCAGTATCGTTAGACTTTTTCTGGTAGAAACCAGGGCAATTAATAAGCCAGCAAATTGCAAATTCTAATGAAACATATGTTTTTTTTTATTGAACACATTTCGTAACATATTGAACACAGCTATGCTTTCGAGCCGCACTTTCGCTCGAAATTGATCACACCATTTTGAACAACATGGGAATTTAAAAAAGTATGGGAATTCAAAAACATGTTACATGTTTTGTTTTAATAAGCCACTCAATGTTCTACGTTTAAGGATATATATTCCATCGGCGGACCTTGAAGTCACAAGGTCACATAAACACCAGAAACGTATTTTTTAGAGTTGGGTAGTTCCGGAACGAACTAGTTCATTGGAACTATTCGGAGAAAGGAACGATCGGAACTAGTTCCAGCTCTTTAATTAATATTGTTCCTTTTTCTGATCTCGTTCGTTTTCTTATCCTTTTTTCTCGTTATTTTTTTTCTGATCTCGTTTTTTTGTTTGATACCGTCCCGTTATTCCCATATTCTTCATTCGTTCGTATTTAAAATTGTGTAAATAGTTTAATTTTATTATTATTATAATTTTTGTTTTAAATATTTTCATTTATTTATAAAAAAAGTATTTTGTGCTTATCGTCCTGCAGTTGAATTCTGTAGCTTCATTTCATTTTTTTTTTCATTTTTGCACAATTTTCAATTTATGCATTTATTAACAAATCACCACGGAACTATGTGGGCGAAAAAAAAACAAAGATATTCCATGTAGGAGTTGGAACTATAAAGAGCAAAGGAACTGTATGGATCAAAGGAACTATATGGAGCAAAGGAGCTATATATAGAAAAAACAAGAAAAAAAAGGAATGACGAAAGACAAAGGAACTATGTAGGAGTCGGAACTATATGGAGCAAAGGAACTGTATGGAGTAAAGGAACTATATGAAAAAAAAAAAACAAAAAGAACGATGAAAGAGAGAGAGAGAGATTCAAAGGAACTATTTGGAGCAAAAGAACAATAAAGAGCAAAGTAACTGTATGGAGTAAAGAAACTATAAAGAGCAAAGGAGAGGGACGAGAATGTTCGATCCGCTAAGTGAACTAGATTGCTTAACTATAGTATTTTCCCACGACAACTTCCACTGAGCTCTAAGTACCTGCGGATCTATATCCGAGCCTGAGTGGTATTACGCGAAATTTGCACACTTTTGAACGATTAGAGCTCAAAAGCTACTCTGTGGGATTTTTTTCCGAATAATGGTATCCGGAGTATAAATGTACTCCATAAGATTAAAATTTTGCTATTTTACACAAAAAAGTTTTCATTTATTTGACAGTTTATGATCAAGACATCCATTCGAATTAGTTGGTCAGATCGCAATCACCATGGAAAATTTGTGATGTTTTGATGATAACTGTGACGTTTAAAGTGACTAGAAAATCAGACAAAAATAAATTTTTCGTTCCATTTCATACCACAAATATCATCTTGACCATAACCGGAACCCCAAGCAAACTTTCATAGCCATCAGCGCTACATTACGCCCTCTAGTATGGTGATGGTGATACTAAATATTTACGTAGAACACTCTTACCCGAATGCATACAGCCATATAATTGGTATAAATTTAATGGTCAACATATCCTGTCTTCAGTAGTAAATATATACCCCATAGGATGCAAATTTTAATCACTTTTCACATCTGGATACATTTGATCCGCTATCGATCGTTATTAACCCTTTGAGCTATGTTTTTTCCGTAATCATAGAACAATTTCCTGTTCACAGATTTAATGCAACTATTCTATATAGGATATGAACAAAATTTGACATCGCTACATTCTTACATCCTTTGTGAAAAATAGAAATACAATGTCAAGAGTCTCAGCAAAAATTAAGAATGTTGGTGTACTGTTTAGGGCAGGATTCTCATTGGATGGAAAATGTTCATACCAAAAACTAGCAATATTTACATTAGTTTCGGGGTAGTAACCCTGAAACATACCATCCATTATTCAGCGGTTTTTGTGAACGTTTTTCAAACAAATTGGGTATATTTCAAATTTAAACAAGGTATGCACAGTTTTGTTGGAAACATAACATTTCCCCCGAAACCCCTAAATTTTAAAATTATTTCCCCTGATCTAATTATGACCAAATTTGAGGATGAACTATATCGCTATTTTTTCAACTGCACTTTTAAGTCGGAATAGAAGACAACAGGGTCTTTTATATCGAAGAGAGTACTTCAAGCTCTTATTTATGAATAGGAGACCACCGAGTTTTCTATTGGAATTAGTAGATCTCATATATTTTTTTATAAATATGTAGAAGTCCTCGACGTTAGTCCTTAGGGTATTCTGCATAGAACACCTATAGTGTTCTCCACCAAAAATAATCAATGCTTACATTTTTCAACCGAATTGGCTTTAATTTGGCATTCTGATCGAGTACAAAATTTAAGTACTTTTTTAAAATGATGAACTCTGCGCTTATGTTTCACTATTTCAGAAAACCAAAAGTTCCCAATTTTTGTAAGCATACTAGGCTTCGTTTATTTATAATTCGAATTATTCCTTTTGAAATTTAAATATAAATAATACACATAATTTAATTTCTAAATTCAGAATTTTAAGCGCCTGATTTTAATATTCCAATAATCAAATTACAATCGAAATGTGTTTTGTAGTAATCTGCTCAAAACATTTCATTTCAAATATACCGGTTTTCAAAATTTCTCACGTTTTGTATGCAAATTTTTTTATATTTTTTTTTGTAGTTTTTGTATTTATTACAGCGCCTATGATATTAAAAGAATTTAAATAATTTAGTGCAAAACAAAATCTTTTATAGTAAAAAAATTAAAATAATGTGGACAAGACTATTCTGCCGTATACAGATATTCGACACGCACCATGTAACTGGTTTCATTCAGCGCGTGTCATTTTAAGCCATAAACAAATGTGAACGGTATTCGATGAAAGGCGAACATGTGAATACCCTGTAGCAAAGATTAGTAATCAGGAATGTAAATAAAATTTAAAAAAAATTTTGATAATATTCAAAGAATGTTCGGCTTCTTCATTGATGGAAAATTCTATTCAAGAAATTAGTGGAACTGATATTGAATTAAAATCGAATGAATAATGAAAACGAAATGTGGTAGTAAAAGGGTTCTAATTTAAGAATTGAATATTGGAATTAAGAAATTTATATTTGAAAATTAATTTTAAATAAATTTTGACACAATAAACAACGATATTCGAAAAAGAAAAACTTTGAAGATTTGTACATAGTATTGTAAAGGTCTATATGAAAGAATGGATTTGGAACAAATAACAAAGAAGGTAAATTCTAATTTGTAAGTCGCTGTGAAAAATCTTGTCAAATCATCAGGGGTTTTTTATCACGTTCAGGTCTAAAACCATTAACCAAAAATGTGCTCATTATTATCGGAATAATTTTTCGAACCTGTGTTACAAACAGGACGACAAACTCGCAATACCTGTTATATATTTTTTAATTCAACTCAAAGCTACAGTGCATGTCTAGTGCGTTGCATTGACACAAAGAAACCGGTAGGTAGTTAGGTTGCTTGCCAGACATAAGAAGTGTTAAATTATGGCATGTCTTCTGCATTTCAATACAATGGAATACTTTCAGATAGGATCTCTTCGACAACAATGGTCGGACGCTTGAAGATCCGTTTCACTATTTTCCATGATTTTTTTTCGCCTCAATAATTAAAATAATATATATGCAATTACTAACCAATCAACCCAATAATTTAATGTCAACAAGCATCCACATACATTTATAAATATAGATATAGCTGTATGCTATGACGTAGTTTTGGTCAAGTTTAATTCTTTTGTATTCCTTGTAATATTTCCTGCCAGTTGAAACAAAGAATGTAGAAAATATTGTTTACATTTTAGTTAATAAACAATTTAATCAAATTTTCCTGTTGATTTGGGGGGATTTTTTTGGTTTCTGTTTACAAAATGGGGGATTTATCTTCAATGTTTATTTCTTTTTCCGTAAACATAAGAGATTTGTTGATGCAGAATTTATTTACATTAATATGAATTACTGGTTTTTAATTAATTTAATTGGAATTGTAAATATTTCTTTGTAATACAAAGTGGTAGTATAATTTGGATTATCCTTTATAGGTATGTGTGGCTCACTCAAGTGGTTAACTAAAATATATCTATGTAAATATATATCTATACTAATAAACCTGTGAGCGGAGCAGTATAGTCGGATGGGGCCGACCATACGATACCCTACACAACTAGCACAGAAATCTATCTGTCTGTGGATTTTTATTCTGAGCCTGGGTAATATTTCTTGCCCGATACAGCATTTCTTCCTTACACCGACATATTTTCCGAATATTACCAATATTCAGTACAACTCTTCTAATTACTTGTCCATATTCCCTTCACCGTGGGTTGTGTTATGATGTTCGGCTTATAGTCTATAGATGAATCGAAAAAAAACACAAAAAAAATAGTTTTCGGTCCACTTCATCCCAAAATTATTATCTGATTATCACCGACAATTATAGGCTGGAACCTCATGGAACATTTCAAAGCGCTATATTTCCGCCCTCTAGTGTGGTAAATATTACATAATATCTGAATACGTAAGCACCTGTAAATATTTTAGTGTAACTCTCACATCCGAGTACATACGACAATATAATTGCTTTCAATTTAAAGGCCAAACCCTCCTCTTGGATATACTATCGACTTCTCGGCTCTATGTCCTTCAAGAGTAAATATATACGCAATAGAATACAAAATTTTGTAATTTTTCACACAAAAGTCGGGGCCCATTTGACCCGCTAAATATTGACAGATCATTATCAAAGCAGCCATGCTTATTCTTTGGCCCAATCCCCTTCTCCATGTAAAAATTCGAGATTTTTGGGCCATAATTGCGGCCTTTGGAGCTGGAATCCTGAAATGTGCAGTTAGGATCACTGTTGGGGTATGTAGGAAGTTGGAAAATTCGTAACAATGTGAACTAAATGGTACTAAATTTGGTACAATTTGGATTGGATAGATCTGGAACACTAAAATTTGGAAATAAGTTTATTGTTGGAGTGTAGGATTGGGGGTATGGATGTAGTTTTTGGAAATTTACTAAATGGTACTATATTTGATACAATTTGGAATAGTAGAAATGTAGAGTAGAATGTAGAATAGAGGTATGTCGGTAGTTTTGTGAATTCAAACATATGTGTACTAAATTTGGTTCAATTTGAATTTTGAGAATTTGAGAGCTAGAATCCTGAAATTTGGACTTAGGTTTTCTGTTGGCGTGTAGAATTGGGATATGTAGCTAAATTTAGGAAATTTGTACTTATGTGTGCGAAAAGTACTAAATATGAAACAATTTGGATTTTGGTGAACCGATGTGCTTTAATACTAAATATTTGGAAATTAATATTAGAGTATGAGTATAGAATTGATGTATGTAAATAGTTTTGGAAATTCGTGTTGAGATATGGAAAGAGAACATAGGTAATAAATGATACTAAGATTTTAATTATGGTGGGTATTGGCTTTTAAATAATTTCCACATTCTACCAAACTACTCCGCTCAATGGTTTATGATATGATTGTATACATTTCTGATAAAAATGTTAGTAATATAGCCATTTGGCCAATGTATTCTCCAGACTTGATGCTCGCAGTTTTTTTCTCTGCCCAAAACTGAAGATAACAATGAAAGGAAAGCATTTTGAGGGAGTAAAAGAATAATCGAGGAATTCTTGGCTATACAAAAAATCATGTTTTAGAAGAGCATTGATAATTGAAAAAATCGACGGGATAAGTGTTTTATATCTGAGGGGGATTTTTTCAAAGGGTTCGTTTTTTGACAGACCTTGTAAATTTCTATCAAATTTGGATGTCAAGTTTACATTTTTCAAATGTCAAATTTAATTTCTGATACTGCTGGTATTAACACATTTGTATTTAGATGTTCATTCTACTGGCGGTTGTAACGTGAATCTAATTTAAAATTATATTGGCGAGGATACTAAATATCCAGAAGGATATAGTCACAATAGGACGTTTTTTGAGTTATGGCTCTATTGCAGATTAAATCGGATGAGGAATATGTTTGTAAAACGTATTCTTCCTTTATTTCGAGTCCTTTCTCGTCCTTATTTTCTTTAACCATAAACTGAAAAAAAGATGAGATTTTTTTGACCTTCAAATATTCTTCAAAAATGTCGCTTATACAATTGTAGATATGGTTTCATCGAGATTTTCCACTTTTAACTGGGTTTTCCTCATAAAACTGTATCGAAATTGGAAGGTTTTCTAAAGTTTCGATAGTATTTTTTAAATACAAAAATAAAAGTTGCAGTGTAATTTATGTGAATTTTATAGAATTTTTATATGAAAATATTTTATAGTTTTTTATTTATACACTACGCTTTTTTTTTAACACTTTGGAGTACACTTGAAGACGTTTCTCTAAAATTACTTGTATCTACTTATATAGTACGTGAGAAATTAAATTTTTATTATATTTGTTTGTCTTTTCTAGCAACTACAAACAATTCACTATTTTTTACACTTTTCTTTATTTTGTTTGTTACTCACTTGGTATTTTTGATTGATTTCAAAGAATTGTATTCGAACAAAATTGGTTAGACGTAAACAAGTGATTGTTTCGACTGTTAATTTGCGAATGATGTCTTCTCGATGGTTTGTTGCGGTTTATATACTTGCAAATTTGTACTTTGAAATTAGTGGGGGTCATCTCAAATTTCATTTGACAACTCCAATAACTGTGATTTCTCGAACGGAAGTTATCCTCTTAATAGTTTTACAAAGTGTTGTTCTTCCGAATTAAATTAGGATTTGTCTTATTCATTTTTTCTCTTTTGTTAAGTGAAATTATCCATAGGTGATGGTGTGCATCGGCGACATATGTGTAGTTGTGGATAATAGCTAGAGGCTAATTGAATGAATCAGGCTTAACTGTTTATGGGGATATTATTGAGTTTAACTGGTGTTGCTAATAAAGGGTTCATATTATTTCAACATATGATATTTAGATAGCTACAATCATAATGCTATTAAAAACTGATTTTGAAGGTTTTCTTTATGTTCATCTGTTATTGATTTGTGTGCAAAATTTTAAGTACTTAAGAAGATATTTGTTAATTTCAAATGTTTTTAATAATTGAACATATTACTTTTAAACCTTGTTATACTATACGCAAAAGTTGGATTGTACATTGATTCTTTCCATATGTTTGCAACACCTCCAAATATTTTTTTGGGGACCCCACAATGTATATATGCATATACGTCATTCCTGGTTGTTGAAGGTTGACATATATTATTGCCAAAAATTGTCTATATAGATCTATGTTCTGGCACATTCCGGGTCAGGTGATAAAAATTTTCAAGAACTGTTTCGGCAAGAATCAATAAAGTTTCTTCAACTAAGAAAAGAAAATGTGGTTCATGTTGAATTGCTTTAATTTGACATATCCAACTTTATCGAAACAATTTATTGCTATTTTCATATAGGTCCATATTTTGTCATACCAACATATAAGAGCCCAAGCCTCATTATCGGAATTTGAAATTTTTTTGCTAAGTTTGTCCAAACTGGTGAAACCCATATTCCTATAGAATAAAAACGTCTTCGCTGTTCCATGTTGAATGTCTTTAATTTGGTATTTCATTTTCTTAAAACAAAAACAATTTACTAAAAGGTCCATAACTGTGGCCCGAACAATATTTAATTAATTAACCTGTACTTAATTAAGTCTTAGGTTAAAAATAAAGCTTGAAAAAATCAATATTTATAAGAATAACTGCTATTTCTAGCTATATACTAAATTTGGTACCATTTATTACTTTTTTAGTTCTTATCTCTAATACTAATTCCACATTTCATGATTCGAGCTATATAGATTCACTCAAATCCAAAATTTACCATATTTAGTAGACATTAATATAAAATCCCATTTCTACCTACAATCTTACGGGAATCATCTTACAAAAATTTTATGATTCCAGTTTACCCAAATTCAAATTTAGTATCATTTAGTAAACAAACATACGACATTCCAAAACTACCTACATATCCCAACCCTACACTCCAACAGTAATATTAATTCTTATTTTCATGATTCCAGTTCGAATAAATAACTTAAATCTAAATTATATAAATTTAGTACCATTTAGTACATATAAGTACAAATTTCTATAACTACTTATATCATAACACCTATAGAAAGCGTGTTCCCAATTTCAGGAATTCAGCTCTATCGGTTCACCCAAAATTCAAATAGTACCAAATTTAGTAGCTTTTGTACACATTAGAGTAAATTTCCAAAACTACCTATATAATACATGAAATAGAAATCTTATTTCCCGATTTGAGGTTTCCATACCTATCGGTTCACCCACATCCAAACTGTATCAAATTTAGTAACATTTGGTAGAAAGTCCCCAAACTCTAAGTGATCCTAACTCCAAATTCCAGGATTCCAGCCTGGAATTTGGATTCGGTTCACCCAAATCCAAATTATATAGAATATAGTATAATTTTGTATTTTTCGTATACATAAGTACACGATTCCAGCTCAATCCTTCACTCCAAATTTAAATTGTACGAAATTTAGTGCCGATTAGTACTTTTCGTATACATGAGTACACACTTCCAAAACCACCTACTCATATCGATCCTATTACAAAGCCTTGATTCGTATTCCAAATTTCGAGTTTTAGCTCTACGAAAATGTAACAAATTTAGCACCTTTCGGATACTTATAGTTCGAATTTCCAAAACCCCTTGGTACATCTATCTTACACTCCATCAATGACCCTCAATCCACATTTCAGAGTACTTGTTCTAACGGTTAGCAAAATACCAATGGTACCATATTTATTATCATGCCGTTCTAATACGAACTTCCAAAAACCCATCCGTATTTGACAACTTTCGGACTAAGAGCCCACATTTCAAGATTCTTGATTCAGTCGTTTCATGTGGGCCTTCATGAATACTTAAGTCAATCAGTCATCACTTTACTGTTTTATATATATATATATATATAAAGATTTTGGAGACGGTCAAATATAGTTGACAAGAGGCACATAAGTAGTACAGGATATAATTTTAATTCAGGATATAATTTTAATTGTAATTTATGTAACTTGTTGTTTCTTTCTTTGCAGGTCCATGGTGACAATTGGTAAGTGCTGTAATTATAGTTATGGGTAATCACCCAGTTTTTAAGTCCAACATAAGTAAAGACGCAAACCCGCTTCTTATTTATTATACTAGTGTGTAAATTATCCGTTAGATGTCGGCGTAGATTTCTATTAGTAGAAAGAAAAATCTTAAAATATAAAATTAGTTTTAGTCCAATTAAAAAGTGCTGAAATTAATATTAGTATTCACAAAATTTTGGGGATTGTAATACAAATTTTAGGTAGTTTAGAGATTTTGCGCATTTTATTAAACTTTTTACAAAAAAAAAAAAAAAATGAATTTTGGTTTTCTATTTTATTCGAATACTAATTTCAGAAGTTAGTATTTTGCATGAATAATAGTTTTTTATAGCAATTAACATAAATATAGTTTTAATCAATAGTGCTCACTGATTTCGTCGTCCCTCCCTATTATCGATGGCATTTTTGTTCCTTATGGCGAGAAAGCATTTGACGAGTATATTCAGAACCCAGAAGGGAAAATTCAACATAGGTCAATTGTTGAGTTATGGCATGAACAATTTATTGTAAAATACATAAAGACACAGTTTTTATCTTTCTTTGTGCCTATTGCAGGTTATTTTTTATATGACATACACTCAGAAAATCGAATGAGGAATATTTTTGTAAAACATATATTGTTTCTATCTCGAGTCCCTATGGGTATTCTTCGTACTTAGATACTTTAAACGTAAATTATAAACCACAAGGAGAGTTTTTGATCTCCAAATCTTATACAAAAATTTCACTCATAAGATTATACAGGGTCATCAAAGAAGAAATCGATATTCGAAAGCTTTCATTGCTCATTTTCATTTCTACCCAATTGTTGGCAATGATCGGGGTCCTATCTATATTCATATGGGCGACATTTTGGTAGAGTATTTAGAGGCCAAATTTTTGTCTGGCCGTTTCTGGTCAATTGTTTCCTTCAAACGGGCTAGTTGTTCACAGTAGAGATCAGAATTTAGCGTTTGGCCATATGGAAGCAACTGAATAATCCCCTTCTTTCCGGCATTTGGTGGTAATGCATAGCAGAACCTTCATTGCCGTTAGTCCTGGTTTGGCCACCGTTTGAGGTGTTTCACCACACTTTGACCATGATCGTATGGAGCACAGGGTAATCGTATGTGATCCATTTCTCATCTCCAGCCACCATCCGTTTAAGAAATGGGTCTAGCTCATTCCGTTTGGCCACGGCTTCGGAGATGGAAATTCGATACTTCCTAAATTTTTCTGTTAATTGGTGTGGTAACCAAACATCGAGTTTCTTTTTGAATCCAGCTTTGTGTAAATGGATTGAAACAGTTTTATGGTCGATTTTTAGCTCCAGGGTGATGTTACGACTGCTAAAATGTCGGTCAACTTCGATCATTTCTCCGATTTTATCGGCATTTCTGCCGAAAAATTATACTAATAGAACCCAAAAAGCTAAATTTGTTATGTTGAACAACGAGAAAATAATCTTTAAAAAACCAAATATATATGGGAATCGTTGTCAATTAATACCAACATCCTGAAGCAATAACAATGTGTATGCAAAATTTCAAAGCTCTATCCTCAATATTGCGAATTATATTTTATTGTTCCATTGTTTGATAGACAGTTGTTTTTTACTTACTTTTTTACTTTAATCACATACTTTATTTAAACTCGTTTATTATTTTCCCTCACATGCAAAGTTCGGCAATTATTCCAACCATATGAAAAAAATGTTAATCCCAAATAAGAAAGTGAAAGTCATATCTACCACATCACACCTACATACTGACACACATATGTGTGTGTATGCATTTATATTTATCTCTCTGTGCTAATGGTAAAATTAATTTGTATGTCCTTCAACAATGACGTTAAATGTTCGCTAGAGAGCGGGAGAGACTTTCCACTGAAATTATGAATGCAATTAAAATAGCTATTTAATTAAAAATTAATTGTTACATTATTAAATTATTATCGAGCCGTATTCTTTTTTCACATATGGTGAAAAAATAATAAAAGGAGATTTATCAGTTCAATGTCATATGGATATAAAAAACAGGCATACGAACACACACACACTCACATATGCACATTCACACTCGCTTACACAAATAACAAACGCTCATTTAATTAAGCTGCTTTTGGGAAAATTTTTTATTGAATTTTTTCATTCACTTTACCGAAGGTGTTTGAAATGAGTTGAGCTATAGCCGCTGTTTTTGCTTTGCTGCAGGTGTGCTGCAAAGTTAAATGGGGATTTTGTGTTTTTGTCGTTAAATGGATATGTTGTTGTCATTTTAAAGCAGGGAAACTGAGCATGAGAATGACATTTAAAATGTTGTGTATTTTATCGATATTAAAAAATTTGGTATCGAATTCCGAACTTTGTTAAAGGGAGCTGATAAAAGCATGC